GATTCACGCGGTCAGGAGTGTGATGGGACCATGAACTATCTACATAAAGAGGACCTGCCACATATTTTGCTATCACATAGGGGGGTTTTATTAGCCCCAGTATGTGATAGCAGCAAAGTTTAGTGGAAAAAAAAATTACACATAAAGAATGAAAAACTATTTTTTTTAAAGTCCCCCACGCATGCAAACATGCGTCAGGGGCGCATACGTACAAAAACGACGATTGCGCCCGTTACACCGCACATGTTACATATCGTCGCAAAGCAATCATTCTAGGGCCACCAATCACTGATAACACTAAACTGATGAGCGGTAAAAGCTTTTAAAGCGTCGCCTACGGCCAATTTTGGGTATGGTAGTTTTCTGCAATTTTGCGGGTGCGTGCAATTTTAAAGCTTGACGTGTTTGGTGTCTATTTACCCGACGTGACCACGTCTTTTTATATTTTACCAAAAAACTGGGTAATAATAAATGTTTCCTAACATAATGTAAAAAAAAAAAATTTTTACAAAATTTTCAGTAATTTTTCATAGTTATCGGTCCATCGGTTTTGGATGGCGTCGATCAGGTCTGTAATGGCCTGGCTTCATCAGGGGGATCTGCTGGCCTCCTTCGACATCAAGGATGCCTACCTTCATGTGTCCGTTTGCGGGTCTCATCAGTAATATCTTCATTTGCGGTGGGGAGGAGCATTTTCAGTTGTGGCGCTCCCTTTTGGCCTTGCGGGTGTTCACCAAGGTGCTTGCCCCAATTCTGGCACTGTTGCGTTGTAGGAGGGTTTAGATCGTGGGCTACCTGGACGATCTTCTTCTGCGGGTGGAGTCGCACTCTTCTCTGAAGGTCACGGTGCAGTCCTTGAAGGGTGTAGTGTTGGCTCCTGAACCCCCCGAAGTCTTGCCTGGTGCCTTCTCCGCGCCTGGAGTGTCTGGGCCTGGTTCTGGACACTGTTGCGGCCCGGGCTTTTCTCCCTCCGGACAAACTCCTGAACCTCCGTTCCAAGATCCGTCTGTGGCGGACTCTCCGGTGCTCGCCCATTCGCTTTTGCATGCAGGTCCTGGGTCTCCTGGTGGCCGCCTTCGAGGTGGTGTCCTTTTGCACAACACCACACCCGGACTCTGTAGAGGGACACCCTGGTACAGTGGGACAAGTCCCCCCTGTTCGTGGACAGGGAGATTCCGGTGTCTTGGGAGGTGTGTGCCTCCCTGCGGTGGTGGCTTCAATCTCCGGTCTTGGTGCGGGGGAAGTCTTTCCTTCCTGTACACTGGACGGTAGTCACCACGGACGCCAGCTTTTGGGGATCCTTGACCGTGCAGGGTTGTTGGTCGGCGGAGGTGTCCCGCCTGTCGATAACTGTGTTGGAACTTCAGGCGATTCGCCTTCCTCTCCTTCATTGGTCGACCCGTCTTCAGGATCTGGCGGTTTGGGTCCAGTCGGACAACGCCACCACGGTGGAGTACATCGACCGCCAGGGAGGCACAAACGGCATGGCCGCTGGTCGAGAGGTGTTCGGGATTCTCTCCTGGGCGGAGAATCCGGTTCTGGCTCTCTCGGCGGTCTACATTCCGGGGGTGGACACTTGGCAGGCCGGCTACCTCAGTCGACAGCCGGTGGACCCGGGAGTGTGCTCCCTGCGCCCGGAAGTTTTTCCGCAACTCTGTCTTCGCTGGGGGACGCTGCATGTGGATCTTCTGGTGTCTCGTTCAACCGGAAGGTGAACAGGTTCGTGACCCAGACTCTGGATCCCTGGGCGGAGGCAGTGGATGCCCTGGGGGCTCCCTGGGTGCTTTGCGGTCTGATTTATGCCTTCCCTCCACTTTACCTGTTGCCTCGGCTTCTGCGATGGATCGCGGCCGAAGACGTCACCCTCATCCTCGTGGCCCCAGACTGGCCTCAGAGCGTGGTGGTGGGACGCCCCGTGGAGGCTGCCTCTGCGTCCAGATCTTCTGTCCCAGGGACCTGTGTTCCATCCTTCTTTACAGTCGCTGGCTTTGACGGCGTGGCTGTTGAGAGCCAGGTCCTGAAGGACCAGGGGTTGTCCGATGTGGTCCTTTCCTCTATGCTCAGGGCACTCAAAGCGGCTTCTAGTAAGATTTACCATCGCACGTGAAGGGCCTATTTTGCCTGGTGTTAGGTTGGGGCCCTGTCCCCGCGTTTGTTTTCCATCTGCAGAATTCTTGCGTTCTTGCAGCGTGGGGTGGCTCAAGGGCTGGCCTTGAGCACCGCGAAGGGCCGTATATCTGCATTGGCTATGCTTTTCCACAGCCAATGGCGTCTAATGCTCTGGTTCACACTTTTGTTCAGGGGGGACGCGTATTGCTCCCCCTGTCCGCTCGCCTTTGGCACCGTGGGATCTGAATCTGGTGCTTTCGGTGTTGCAGGAATCTCCTTTTGAGCCTCTCCGGGAGGTTACGATTCTGTCCTTGTCGCAAAAAGTGGTCTTTTTTGGTGGCCATCACTTCCGTTCGGCGGGTGTCGAAGTTGGCTGTCTTGTCTTGCAAGTCTCCGTTGCTGGTCCTGCATAGGGACAAGGCGGTTCTCCGTCCTCGGCCGGCTTTCCTGCCTAAGGTTGTGTTGGCATTCCATCTGAATGAGGACATTATCTTACCTTCCCTGTGCCCGAAGCCGTTTCATGGGAAGGTGCGAGCGCTCCACTGTTTGGATGTGGTTCGCGCGCTGTGTTTTATTTAGAAGCTACTGCTTCTTTCCGCGAGACCGACTCCTTGTTCATGCTCACGGAGGGCCCTCGTAAGGGCTGGGCCGCGACGGAGGCTACCATCTCTCTGATTCGTAATGTTATTCAGGCGTACGCCGTTAAGGGGTGTGAGCCTCCTTTCCCTGTCACTGCTCATTCTACTAGGGCTGTTGGGGCATCCTGGGCCTTCTGTCATGGTGCCTGTGTTTCTTAGGTTTGTAAGGCCACTTCTTGGTCTTTTGTTCACACCTTTTTGTTAAGTTTTACAAGGTGGATGTTTTAGCATCGGCGGATGCTGGTTTGGGGCGCGAAGTGTTGCAGGCAGCTCTTTGAGGGGTCTTTTGGGTGTTTGGTGGTTTTTGCCCATCCCTCAGTGTGTTACTGCTTGGTGACGTCCCTACTATTCAGGATCTACAATCTGTTGCCCTGTGTCCTTCAATGAACGGGAGAGAAAATAGGATTTTTGTACCCACCCTTAAAATCCTTTTCTCTCCGTTCATTGAAGGACACAGGCCCGCCCTCTATTATGGGGTGTAAACTCCTAACTGCTTGTTACTTACTGGAGACTTGTCAGGAGGTGGGGGGTTTGGCCACCAGCAGGAGGTGGGGGGTTTGGCCACCAGCCCTTAGGCTGTCTTTGTCTTTTGTTATTTGCCTAGCATCCTACTCCTGCAGGTGGCGATATACCCTACCATTCAGGATCTACGATCTGTTGCCCTGTGTCCTTCAATGAACGGAGAGAAAAGGATTTTACGCTGAGTACAAAAATCCTATTTTAACTAATGAATACAAGATATTTTTAAATCAGCAAGCCGAGCTGAATGCTGCTGTGATTTTTAAAGCGGACCTTTACCCCCTTGTTCTAAGGTGGGATTTCAACTGCCGGTCAGTAGAATCCTTAGCTAAGCATGCCCTTTACTGGTCTAGTGGTTTACCTGTTAAGGCAGGTCCCTGGAAGATCCACAGTGGGTATAGACTACCATTACAAATATTTATCAAAGGAGAACACTCAGGTGGGGCCCAGGACCCTTGAGAGTACTTAGTCTACATAGATTAATACTTTGAATAGTGGGTCTAGTGGAAAGGTTCTCGCAGCTCTAGGGGCTGTGAAAGATCCAGTCAGAAAGTGCCTCAAAAATAATCTCATCAGAGGCTGTGCGTAGTCAAAGATGGTCATTGCAACAGATGGCCTGACTAGTTTTAAGGCCTCTGGGAGATCAGAGATTGACTCTGCAGGGGGAGGCATGGGAGCTTGCTTAGAATCTCTGTGGTCACGGTACACAATAAACGCTCCAGGGTCTGTTAGCACAGTGTGAACTGGGCTCATCAATAGCAGAAGAATTTTCCCCTCTGTGTCTAGCTACAGACATGTGACCATGTGTTGGAAATGCAGCTAGGCTCAAGGTACTCACAATCCCCGGTTTGTGGATTGTTGAAGAGAGTTAGATGGCTAGAGGTGACCAGGGTCACTGTAGATGGGCAAATGAACCAGAGTTTTGAGTCCCTTGTGCCTCCTTACAAAGCAGGAGCAGCAGCTGTATGATGCCTCCTCTACCCTAAATGGCAGGAAAGAACATAGAGCATGTAGGCAACACTCCACCCAGCAGATGAGTCAGTGTTAGTCATTGCTTAATCCTGCTACATTAACCCCTTCCTCCATGAAACTGGTGGTTGTGGGAAATTCAAAAGGCACCTAACCGCAGATACCAAGGTAGCTCCCATTGCTTAGCCTGATCAGCCTACTCAACAAAGTGAGCCTTTAGAGACAGGATACGTGCTGAGGCAATGCCAACTGCTCTGGATCATTAAAGCGTTTTGCTGATAATCTTCCAGTACTAGGTCTGGAAAGCACCACATGCAGAGACCAGTGCCTGAAGGTCACTTCCTGGCCAACCTTGTGACGTCTTTTCCAGTGGGGTCCAGCTGCCATGTAGAGATCAGTTCACGTGGCAGTGTGGCAGGGAACATTGGTTGATGTTTTTTTTTAGGAAGAAATTGAAGAGAAAATTAAAAGACCAAAGCTAGCAAAAACTGGTTAGACTCATCTCCGGTAGAGCTCAATAGCAATAGCAAAAATCAGGTATTCTGGGTAGTGAGGGGTCATCCTGGGCTGGCCAACAGGTTTTTTTGTTTGCCAGGGTCTAAATCCTCCTGGAGGTGGCAGTATAAACCGACAGAATAACCTGACAGTATGTGACTTCTTGTGTCCCTCAGTGGACGAGAGAGAAATAAATGTACCTGCCATTTTCATTTCACCGGTGTACAGTGTACAATGAGGCAATAACATTAGTCCTTTTTTTTTCTCTAGTGTTTGCCATTTTCTAGGTAGATGTCAGGCTCCCGGTGGGGGCTTTGGTGGTGGACCTGGCCAGCAACCCCATCTAGCTCCTACCTATGCAGCAGTGAATGCTCTATGCACCATTGGAACAGAAGAAGCTTATAATATTATTAACAGGTATGTGCATAATTTATGTGGACAAGACAACCCTGCTAGCATAAAAACAGGCTTTGGTTATCACAAAACATGACGAACCAAGTTTTTTGTGATTTATTCTTTCTCTTTCTTTCTCTTTCTTACACGCACTGGCGGAACTGCCAGGGTCGCAGCGGTCGCACTTGCGACTGGGACCAGGTGTTCCGCCAGTTCGGGGGGGGACCCAGAGAGAAGGGGAGGCCCGCCGCTCGCAGCTACCCATGCTGCCTGCGGCGCCGCCTTCACCGCTGCCGCCCGCAGTGTCTTTTGCGGCAGCGGTGAATAGAAGATGTAGCGTTGCGGGGGTGTGGCCTGTCAAGGGGTGACGCCTGCCAGGGAACTCCAATTCCCAGCAGGCAACTGAGGAGGGAGCAGGCCCGGCGGGATACACGCCATGCTGTAGGACGTTCTGGCTTGAGCTGGACCCTGGAGGCACAGAATTTGGGAGCACAGCTCACAGCAGAGTGAGGAGATTCTGGAGGAGAGCTGCAGCAGGTCCAGGTAGGCACTGATTGTTCATGTTGCATATGTGCAGAGTAGTGACAGTGTCTTGCAATGTCATTTTTTTCCAACCAAAAATAATAAAATCATTTTTATTATTTTTGGTTGGAAAAAAAATGACAGTGCAAGACAATGACACCACTCTGCACATTGCCTGCTGGGAATTGGAGTTCCCTGACAGGCCACACTCCCCTTCTCTCTCGCCC